CTGCAACTTCTGGTGGCAAGCCGTTCCCCTGGCTCATTGTCCTCCCTGTCAGGCAGTTTCTCCTCCGTTCCAGGTTGCTTTTCTCTTTCCTACACCTCTGCTCCTTCCTTCCTTCCTTCCTGCCCTGCCCTGGGCTGCTGGAGGAGTCAGTCGTTCAGCCTGGAGGGCTTGTCCTTAGAGGGCCTTGCCAACCCCTTGTTTCCTTCCGTGCAGCTGCCCAGAGGCCCAGCAGAGCTCCTGGACCCCGGATCATCACCCTGGAAAGTTCTACGACAACCTCTACGCGGCCCAGGTGAGCGGCTTCCTGAATTCATCCCCATGCACCTGGAGCGGGCTTCTGTTTGTTTTTACTGCCAGTTCTGTGGGTGTGGCTTGGTGGGCATGGCCATGTGACTGGGTGGGCGTGGCTTTTTTTTTGCAGCCAATCCCCCCCCCACCCATTTTTGGGGGCCTTCTGGGCCTCAGAGGAGCCTCGCGGGGGGGGGGAGGTGCTTTTGCTCCCAGAAGGCTCCCCTGGGACTAAGGAAGGCAAAAAAATGGAGGGGGACTGAGGCCCTCCCTCCATTTTTTTGGCCTTCCTGGGCCGAATCCCGGCACAGCTGATCATATGAACAGCTGATTGTCGGGAGGGGCAAAAAAAAAGAAATAGCTTAAGGGGCCAGCATCAGGTGGGCGGGGTCAGTGAGCATTGGGTGGGCGGGGCAAGCGAGCCGGGGGCGACTGGGTCGGTGGGGGGTTGTGGCCAGACAAAATTTACTACCAGTTCAGTGACCCACGCCAAATCCTTGCTACCGGTTCGCCCGATCCGGTGCAAACTGGCTGAATACCACCACTGCCATGCGCCTGTCCTTGGTTTCTCCATGCAGGAGGGCACAAGAGGCTCACCTGAACATCCAAAATGCCTTATTTTGGGGGGGAAATCTTAAAAGGTTGCCTGGGATAATCGCCCAATGATCCCAGGCAGCTCACAACCATTACAAAAAGAATTAAAAGAAGAATTACAAACAGAGGAATTGCAAAAAGATAAAACCGATCAGACGGTGCCCACCGTGTGTGCCAGACCCCTATCATGCCAGGGACCCCCATCCACACAGCCCACTGGGGGGGGGAAAGAGGTGGGTTTTCATGGCCTGTGGAAGGCTAAAAGGTAGCAGCATGCCCATAGTCACACGATCAAAATTCGGATGCTTGGCAACTGACCTGTTCTTAGGACGGGTTGCAACGTGATCCCCTTTTGCGACCTTCAGACAAGCTAACTCAATGGGGCAAAGCTAGATTCACTTAACAAACTGTGCTGCTAAATTAACCGCTGCCGTCATTCCCTCAACAACGGTGGCAAATGGAAAAAGTTGTAAAAAGAGGCGAAACTCAGCACCAACTTTCTCTTGGCAAATTCCTTGTGTGTCCAACCACACTTGGCCAACAAAGAGATTCTATTCTGTTCTATTGATAGCCGAGGCCTTCGGTTGGAGTGGTTGACCTCCAAGGTCTCCATCTGACCTTCTCCTCCTTTCCGCTCCCACCAACTCTCCTCTTTTCCCGTCCTTCAGGCAACCGCTTGGGTGAACTTCTTCTTCTGGTTCTTGATGTGCTTCCTGCTCTTCGTGGAATGCATCCGCAAAGCCCCCTACCAGCCCATTGAGGAGGAAAGCGCCCGGACTGACAAGACCGCGCCTGCCTTTGGCGACCAGTCTTCCTGAGGACGAGGGGAGGAAGCGCCACCATGTGGCTCCCCCAGTTCGGACAGTCGGCCATCTTCTACCCAGGTAGCAGAGGGCACCATTGCTTGGACAAGAGAACTGGACTGTTGAAGGTCCCCCCCCCCTCTCTCTCTTGGGTTACCCAGAACGACGTCCGGAAAGGTCACAACTGGAGCACCTCTGGAATTCCCTCTCCTATAGATTCACACCCCCCAACCCAATCCAAGTTCTCGTGAAGGTTACTACGGAATAGAGGGTTCCCACAGCCGAGGGCCGCCTGGGAAGGACAGTCTTGCCACTGAAGGTCTTTGTTATGTTGAGCGAAGTGCGATGAAGGGGTGGCACCAACACAGCCCACTTTTATCGGCAGCCAACGGTTGATTTTTGTTGTTGTTGTTGTGCCTTGAAGACCACAAACACCCTTCGGTCTGCTTCTTCTGATGTTGTCTCACTGTCTCCAACAAGGGGAACGCCAACATGGTGACGGTGTTGAAATGAGGCCAGGGGGGATCCCTCCAACTCAACCTCTCCACTCTCTCATCATTCACTAGCGAAATGGAGACTCTCTTCCGGCTACGCTATTCCACCTGGTTGTTGGGGTGGAGAAAAATTTCAGGAAAATCCCCCCCCACATCCTTGGCTTCTGGAGGTACCCTGGGGTCAAACCCTGAAGGACAGGTCCACCTTATCTCATTGGGGGGGGGGGAAAGGGGGGGGAATTCAATTGGGAAAAACTCGCCTCTTTCCTTCCAATTTTGTCCGAATCTTAGGCAGCTTTTCATGCAGACGGAACCGCTCTAAAAGCAAACAAAATACACTGTTTTCCTGAACTCTTTATTTGTCTTTATTGAGTCTGAGGACGTAAAAAGGAGCAGGACGGGCGTGGGAGGACAGGGAAAAAAAATAACAAAAGATGGGAGAAAGGGGGGGGGGTTCGGTTCAGCGTACAAAACAAGACATACACACACACACACACCCAACTTTCTGACTCTTGCTAGACCCTCCCTGGGGAGTTTTTTCCAGCTTTACGCCCAGCAAGGCGCCTGAAGGGATGTTTCTCAACTTCGACAACTTGAAGATCTGTTGGACTTCAGACCTTCAAGTTGTCCAGACTGAGAAGATGCTATAACTGGGGAGGGGGAAACAGACTGGATATCTTGGATCTCCCAGGACGTCCCGGGTCCCGTCTGAAATGCTACAGGAGATGATAAGGAGAAGAAGCAAAAACACTTGGAGGTGGTCACTGGACAGGGCCCAAAGTGGACACGAGGGTGGGGCTGCAAGGCCGGGCCGCCTCAGCGGAACTGCAGGGGGCTAATCCTCAAGCCGATGACATCTTTGCCGATCTCCGTCACCTGCATCCAAAGGAAATATCGTTAGTCATCCCACCCCCACACAATTAAAACAAAAAACAAAAACTCCCTTTACAGATTTTTGCAACTTTCTTGTCTTCTCTTGAACCCAGAGAGGGCATGCGACATTGGGGTTGTATTGTCAGGATTCCGGCCGTTACCCCCCATTTAAATCACGAGTCTCGAGCCAAACTTCCAAAGGGATTTATTGGGAGTGAACATATCCGGCACTGCCTGGGTGTAGCTGACTCTGAGACATGTCATTCACTGTCACCCTTGACCCTGGTTTTTCCCCCAACCCCCTGGGTGTATCATGATTCCTATTCTCCAATGGGACACCTCCATAGCCCAGAGTCCTCAATCAGGCTCTCCAGTTAGAATTTTGCAAGGCAGAAACTTCAGTCCCCTAGTTACTATCTCTGGAAACATTTGTGGAATGCGCTTTCGGTTTGCCATCATCTGTACTGCTCTTTCAAACCCCTTTCTGTTGGCAACTCTAAGAGAAATATTTTGAGTTGATATGTATCTTGTTAGGGGGAGCCTCCCTACAATATGGAGGCTACTGATGTAGTTCACCCACAAACTAGATCACGGGTTGGCTTTGGCTCGGTGAGATGGCGAGGGCTGCCCATGGTGGCTTGACACAACTCTGTGCTTCTGAAGTTAGACCTCTGGTTTTAGCCAGGTATAATACCAAAAAGGGGGTTGAGCGAAGAGTGCCCACCTGCTAATCTCTACCCTAGGTGGGTAGACCAGTGGAAGAAGAATATAATAACAGAGTTGGAAGGAACCTTGTAGGTCATCTAGTCCAACCCCACACCCGAGCAGCAGACCCCACCACTTCTGAAGGCAACTTCTGTTCCATGGGTTGATTGTTCTCCCTGTCAGGAAATTCCTCCTTATTTCCAGGTTGAATCTCTCCTTGGTCAGTTTCCATCCATTATTCCTTGTCTGGCCTTCTGGTGCTTTGGAGAATAGCTTGACCCCTTCCTCCTCTCTGGGGCAGCCCCTCAAATATTGGAAGATGCTCTCCTGTCTCCCCTGGTCCTTCTCTGCCCTAGACTAGACTAGCCAGGCCCAGTTTCTACAAACCATTCGTTGTACGTTTTAGCTTCCAAAGATATTACAGGAAGGGAAGCTGGCAATTTTTTTTCAAAAGAACAGATTTTGCCTGCATCTTCAAGCCACGAGAAGAGGTGAGAGAATTACTCAGAGGTCATTTAGACCATCCAGTGGAAGTGTTTCAATAAGTTCCCTTGTGGTTTGTAGCGGATGCCACAATGAATGACTTTAAAATGCTGGTAAGTAAGCCAGATGATGCTTTAGGTAGAGTGTTCCTCATCTTTAAGG